AAGACAATTGATGATATTTTGGGGTTATAACAAAATAGCTCTTCTTAAATGCATCCTTTTAGCGAAACTGTGGCTATATTTATCATGCTCAGAATCTCAGCCTAAAAGCTTCTATTATTGTGAAGTCAAGCTCTTACACAACTAATGATTAGTAGAAGTATTTCTAGAACTTTGTTTTTACTTTATTGCCAATCATGATATTTGATTTCAAGCATAAATGTTCTCAGTTTGCTTTCATCCTTGTTCCTTTCCTCCTCCTCTCTTCCGCAGTCCTTGGTGAGCGTGTTGATCCTCCCCGCGTTCCCCGCGTCTTCTGCCTGTATGCCATTTTCTGCACCCAGATGTTTATGTACTAAAACAGATTGTGGGTTTTGCCTTTTCCCTGGGTAACACTGTGACATCTGTATTTAGTTTTTTGCTGCTGCTGCTGTTGTTTTCAAGTGTGTGCTGCCATCTATGGAGTAATCACTGAAATAAAGCTGATATAAAAGGATGTGTGTATATGTGGTATTAAAATATAAGTATAGTATATAAAAATGGTCTAGCTAGATCGTCCAGCTAAAGATCTAGCTAGTGGAGGAGGTATCATAGGGCAGTTGGCCAGATCTCAAGAAATGCTGTTTCTCTGTAGTCCCAGATCTCACACCAAGCACAGGTGAAAGCATACTGCTGAGAAAAACAGCGAGTTCTAGAAGTTAAGCTATTCGAGTAGGTTTATTTAAACTGGGTGAACTACCAGGGCAGCCTGACAACTAGAATAAGGTTGCTTTATCTTCTAATCCCATAACTCATTCTTTTTCCTTCCCCATTACCTTTCACATGTCCTAGTCCTTCAGTCCAAGTTCTGTTTATTATGTTAATTTGTTTTTCAAGCTTAATTCCTTTATTCTTCCCCAGCAGCTTGTTAACTGGCTTCATGCCTCTCCCTTGTGTCCAATTTCATCCTGCCAGGTTCCAGGTTTCCCTTCCTTCAGGTCCCTTCCAAAGATCAGTCCCTCTGCTCTCTCTCTTTCGTAACACTTTGTCACTTGATATCTATTTAGAGTATACGTTTATTGCAATACATTTATTCGAGTTGGTCTAGAAAGCACTTGGAGAAATCATTTTCCATTTTCTCAATGCTTTTGTGCAGTGCCGTGGGGTATCTGTGCATGGGTAGAAGCTATCAGCTTTTATCTTGATATTTATTCATATGCTTTTCAGCTTGTAAATTTTTGACTTAAGGATTTAAATGCCTTACAACCTTGGATAGGATTTTGTCTATGAGTTCCTGGTCATCAGATTTCTATTTGTTTGAGTTAGGAGAATGTGACAGAGACCAACTATGTCTTTAGGTCTTTCCTTGACAACAACGGCGTTGGAAAGGGGGTATCTGTAACCACTAGTGCTTAAATGCTTTCTTGTAACACAAGGTATCAGAATGAAAAGGAAAAGTTTAACCTATATGGATGAAGCATTCTTAAAAATATCTTCTGACATTTTCTTCTTATTGCTGAACTTAGAAATTGATCTTATTTCCCAGCATCAGAGACAAAATGAAGAAAAAAAAAATCAATGCTGAAGATTGATCAATGTTTTTCAAAACTGACTTAATAAGATAAAAATCAATGCAGCTGTATTCTTTGCCATTATTTTATCACCAGTATCATTCAAACATGGTAATATTTGATTCTGTAGTTAAATGTGAAAACATTTTAGCTACCTCCTACAGAGCCAAAAAAAAACTTGAGGAGGGATTTATTTAGTCAAACTTTGGTTTTCTTTTTAATCCTAATTTTGGAACTTTGGCTTCTACAGAAACTGGAAACAGTGTCATATTTTAAGTGCCAGTATATAATTTTTCCTTTAATCACAGAGATTTAAATAGAACAAATTATTACTTGTATTTGCAAATTGCAAGCTCTGCTCCTCCCTTCCTCCTGCAAATAGCAGTTCCATTTTGCTTGGTTGAATGATCTGTACTCGAAAACTTGACGGTGAGCTTGGGCACCTCATCTCCCCGGTGGCAAACTCGCAGTACTTTGACTTTAGAGCCTTACTGTACTTTTACTAAAAGAGTAAAAAAAGTAGAGCCTTACTTTAGTACTTTTACTAAAAAATAAAATCAATTTATTTTTTAGCAAAAAATGAGCAGGCCATTTGAGGTTTTCTGTTGTGGGTTTTTTCCCCTCAATGACCATTTCCCTTTTCTGTCCCCGCTGCCCCCAATAATATTAAGATCTATTTAAAGAAAAGTCTTAAAAATTGCCTTCTGTAATATCGGTGAACCGGTTTCTAAGCCATGAGGTTGGCTGAACAGTTGAGAGGTATTTTAAAAAATAAGTTGCATTTTAATATTTCCATTCCTGTTTACGTGCTGTCTTGGGTTTATCCCTTTGAGCTTCTAGTTTGAAGTTTCTTGTAAGAACTGAAGGCTAGAAAATGTCCTTTTAGGAAAGAAAGTCAAGTGTCTCACACAATCACTGGGAGGTGTGAACTGAGATTTTTAGGGAAATACAAGACAGTGAAAGACCCCTGATAAAATCCTAGATATTGGTGAGCCTCTGGTAATGACATCTTTGTTTTTAAAGATTTATTTAATGAGAACAGAAAGACGGGTTTCTGCATAAATGTCTTACTGATTTGCGTCCCTATCTGTAAGATCACAGAATCACAGAATCTTCTAGGTTGGAAGGGACCTTAAAGATCATCTTGTCCAACCATCAACCTAATGTTGACAAAAATAGACACCCGCACAACAAACAAAAAGCAACACCATCACTAGACCGTGTCTCCCAGCACTTCATCAACCCATCTTTTGAACACCTCCAGGGATGGGGCCTCAACCACCTCCCTGGGCAGCCCATTCCAATGTCTGATAACCCTTTCGGTGACAAAATTTTTCCTAATATCCAGCCTGAACCTCCCCTGGCGCAACTTGAGGCCATGTGGTGTAACTTGAGGCCATAAAGATGCGCCAGAATGTCATAAAACAGGAAATGCAAACCTAATAGTAGGTAGGCACCGTTTTTGAGAATACGGGACTTAATAAGGTTCTCTGTCCGTCCTGTTACCTTTACCTCGCTTTTTTCATATTCCTTAACTAATTGATAAACGTAGCAAGGGTGCTGCTTTCCATGAGTAGCTCTGAGCAGCGGGAGGTGAGTTCAGAGTCGTTCTCTCCATCATAAACTGCATCACAGACGTTGTCTGTGAACACATAACGAGAGAGCTTGTACTTGGACCTCTCCTCTCTCTTTCCTCCCCTCTCCGTACCGCAGGAGGGAAATAGCACGGCATATTGCATGGCTAAAAAAAAGGTTATCAAGCCGGAATTTGTTACACCTCTGGGTCCGGTGGGCAGGCATTCATAACCGCTGTGGAACTCCACGGCTCATCACCACCTGAAGCTGGACGCCCTGAGAAGACAGATAATATCAGATCGGTTTGCTCGTTGCTCTGCAAACAATCCGATACTCCCTAATTGACAGCTTTTCCAAGGTTCATTTGTTAACTGAGAGCATGACATGTATCGAAGTTGTTTCTTCATAATGTGTTTGGCATTAAGAGGAGAAGCTGTCGAACGCCTCGGACGTCAACATTTCAGCAATAAGATACTTCGCCTCCAGTTTTGACTTTCAAACTAGTGACTTTATATCTGCAAGGGCATTTGTAAAGAGCATATGAGAAGACAGGACATAAGAAAAAAGCCTCAGTACATTCCCCAGAAAGTATTTTTGGTGCTTGGGAGATTTGCCTGAGTTATATGCGTCAACTGTTCTTCTTTCTTTTGGTATAAAACCTTGCGTTCTTGCTTAGCAAAGTACTCGCTTGAATACCCATTGGGTTTCAGAGGGTTCTTTGATTTTGGTAGATTAATAAGTAGGCATATCAGATTTTATTTATAATGATGCAGAATCCATGTGTAAAAGACATGCTCAAGGGTTTAACTTGCCTGTGCATCCACAAGAATAAAATGAAACCCCAAAGAAACCTCTGTTTCAAAGAATTCTAACCCTGCCCCAGATGAAGCCTGTGTTTGTTTGAAAGAATAAATTACCTGTGCGGAAGAGACCGGAGGATGATTTCTCCGCTGATCTTGTCACTGGTTTGCATTTGCTGTTTTCCTTTAGGTAGTTTTCATAAACACTTTCTTAGTTTCTAAGAACACAAATTGTGCCAGAACTTGTAACAGTCAGCTGATTCTTTTTTTTTTTTCATTCTGCAAAAGATTTCCACACTTCCATGCAACTGTTGGTATGCTGATAGCTGGCAAGGTGTTCATACAGGGTCTACAAGTACTAATTAAGAGTTTGGTCCCAAATACATCGTCATTAATAGCTGCTGCTTCTCCTTCATCCTGTGAACTTGATAGTTACAAGATGAATTTATCTTAGATGTACAAAAAAGTCTTCTAATTTTACTTTGTTGTTCTTCCTTAGTGTAAGCATGTTATTCTAAATATTTAATTTACCTTAATTTCTCTAGCACCTCATTAAGTTTCTGCACGTATTCTGCCTTCTGGGAGGAGTACGTGCCTGGGGTAGCACAAGAAATTTTCCAGCTGTTGTCAAAACAATGAAGGAGTTGGAGTGGTGCTTTGACTCGCGTTGTTTGGGAAGTGAAACACAGCTGTTCAGATGAGGGGAAAAAAATGAATGAATGGGTCAGGACGCCTTCATTTCACAGGAAGAAAAAGCATAGCTTTGACAGAAGTGCCTTTTCAAAAAATGCTAGGGAAGAATGAGCAAAGCCAGATTTTGCTTAGAAAAACTCAGAAACAAACTTTTTTGAAAGCCCTGAGGTCTGGAACCTGAGCACATGTCTCTCTTCTCTCTACTGTAGTCAAATATTCTACACTACACTACACTTGATCTTAGCCAAAAGGCCGAGAAGCGATTCCTGAGCCTTTAGGGGACGTTCTGGACCTAAGTACTTTCTGTTTTATTTGCAAGGTCTGTTGGCAAATGCCATTTGAGTCCCTGGCAAGCTCTGACTCCAGAGACCTTTCTGTCTTGCAGGGCAAGCACAAGCTGCACGTGGACACAGGACTGGAAGGTTCCTGGTGTGGCCTCATCCCCGTCGGGAGCTCCTGCGAGAGCGTGACCACCACGGGCCTCAGGTGGAACCTCAGTAAGTGAGATGCCTCGGGGACGGTGGGTTTGACATTATCCTAACCACACGTTTACACCAACCTCGCCAGTGCTGAAAGGCCTTATGTGTTTGATGATGGACCATGGCACTGAATCCCTGCCAGGCCATTTTTTGCCTAGAAATGAAGTTTAAGGCTGTGACGGGGAGGGGGAAGGAAACAAAAAAGGGAAGAGAAATATATTTAAACCTGAGATATCGCAGGCAGAAATGTGTTTTCCATTTGGGAGTCATTGTGCTGTTTAAATCGAACATTTGTTGAGGTCATGATACATTACCATCTTGATACATTGCCCTCCAGGGAGGGGAAGCTGCCAGTGCCTAAACTCCTGGTTATATGCCATAAAGTTACAACAAATAATAATGTGATACAGATTATTAAAGCTACCTCACTTTCCCCGAACTGCTTCGCATCTACTGTCTGTTTGTCAATTCTGAATGAATAGATCTTTTCCTTATTTTAAAGTGGGGAAAGGTACGTTTGATCTAGAACAGGGATATTTATCTGTAGAGAAAGGAGGTTTCTTGACCAAAAAAGGCTGAAAAAATCTTCATCCTCCTAACCCCCCTCCCACAATGAGTCATTCAGGATACATTTACTCAGGAAAATAATGGGATATTTTAGATAAAGATTCGTTTAAACTCATGGGAAGTGAAGCAATAATTAAGAGGCTCTGGTCTTGCGGTCTGATTTACACGGCCAGGCTGTAGAGCCACCGCATGCAGAAAAGACACATCATTCTCAGGGTCTGCAGTGCCTGCAGTGCCCTCGTTGGCTAATAATTAATCTGAGGTTGATCCACTGTGCCAGCCAGCAGCACATGGGCTGGTCCAGGGAGCATCTTGCTCCGCTGAGGGTTTGAGCACGCGCAGTTGAGGAGGTGGTAGGTGTTAGTAGCTTGATTATGATAAAAGATACGATTTTGGCATGAATTTCACGATGTGAGATATTTGCCAGGTGAAGAGCTGACTGGCTAGTGAGGTTTTCATCCTTTTGAACTGGATTAAGTTTAAAGAGATAAGGGGCCTGGAGCATCTCTCTTAGGAGGAAAGGCTGAGGGACTTGGCTCTTTTTAGTCTGGAGAAGAGAAGGCTGAGGGGGAATCTGATCAACACCTATAAATACTTCAAGGGTGGGTGTCAGGAGGATGGGGCCAGTCTTTTTTCAGTGGTGCCCAGGGACAGGACAAGAGGAAATGGGCACAAACTTGAACATAGGAAGTTCCATCTCAACATGAGGAGGAACTTTGCTGTGAGGGTGGCAGAGCCCTGGCAGAGGCTGCCCAGGGAGGTGGTGGAGTCTCCTTCTCTGGAGACATTCAAACCCACCTGGACACGTTCCTGTGGGACCTGCTCTGGGTGGACCTGCTTTGGCAGGGGGTTGGACTAGATGCTCTCCAGAGGTCCCTTCCGACCCCATACCATGCTGTGATTCTGTGATTGTAAGAGCTGAATGCATTGTAGAAGGGAAATTCTCTAAATTTGAAAGAGTCAAATATTTTTCTTTGTACTGATAAGTAGAGCTGACAAGGTACTGAATCTTCATCTGCTCGCCTCCTGTTGTGCAATGGATTCTGTGGCCTGTTCCACTGTCCCTTCTACTGAGGGACTGCTCATTTCTCCATAAATATTCTGCCCTCCAGAGTGAGGTGGAAGAAGCTCAAACCAGCCTCATGTTATTGAGGGGAGCATCTTGCTTGCGTTGCTTTGCAAAAGGCTACTGTGTGGATCAAAGTGTGGCAGATCCTGTAAGGATGCTGTCCTTTCTTGGGGTTTTGATTATTGGTTTAAAAAACAAGTTATTTTTCAGAAACATCAGATTTTTTTTGAATTTAATGGCATAAAATTTCATCAGATTTACAAGATGCTCATTAGAAAGATGGGAATTTTAATGGTGGTCTGTTGGCTTCCACAAATTACATGACTTTGTTACTACTAAATTGTGATTGCCTGACCTGCTGAACCTAAGGAGAAAGGGGTTACGAGTCCGGCAGTGCCAGCTGGAGAGGAATGCAGTGGGAAGTTCAGTGGTAATAAATAGTGGGTTTGTATCTAAAATTGGTTTGAGATACCATTTTTTTTGATGTTTATTGTTCTAGTTGTTCTGTAATAAATTTCTTCAGGATGCTTACACTTACATTACACTTAATTCAGTCTTTCTTTTTCTGAGGGACAAAAAAGTGTTTAAGTGACTGTTTCCTACATGTTCACATGACACCACCATCTCTGCTTCTCCCACCCTTGTTGCTGTCAGTTTCCAAGAGGAAGCCTCAGACCTTTACAGTGTTTTCCGTAGTGATGTGGACACTGTACCCCCTTACAGGCTACACTTTCAGTCTCAGTATTCATGTTTCTCACACAGGTTGTAGTTCTTCCATTTATTTCTCTGCATTATCACCTCAGAGACGTGAAAACAAAAATGATCCAGTCTTCTTCAAATATCTTTAATCTGAGACACCGAGGTCATTACAACCTGAAGCTGCTCTTGTGCCCAAGTGACTAGAGCTAAACTTTACTCATCCTAATACAGATTTCGAATTATGTTATTGTTCAGATCCTGATAAAACAAATTAAAGTGTAGTTGCATCCCCCAAAAGGGGAACCAATATTGCAAATATGGCATGTTGTTAGTTGCGACTTGGTTGGATTTTTTTACCCTAATAAATAAGCCTTACATTCAGATAACCTGAGTTTGATATTAGCTCTCGTTGTGTTCATGACTTCGGTGCTGCCTGTAGTTTTGCAGTTATAAAACTGTTAATCCTCCTGTGAATTGTGATGGAGAAGCAAAGGCTCACCTGGGAAGAAAAGGGAATGAGAAGATACTGAAGTGTGACGTGGATGTCAGCATTGCTGCTGATGGCTGACAGTGGCAGAGCTTTCCCTGGTTAGTTAATGGCATTCTGAGCACGTGCCTTCATAAACTTCAATGAATAAAATGCTCTGATTATAAATTCATTTTCGTATGTAAATCATAAAAGAAATGGCATTTTTAAGCCAAACATGACATGAAAAGCCTTTTTCTCCAGTTTGTTTTGGAATTAATTGAATATGACCTAATGAGTTTGTTTTTAAAGAGTGATTTTTCAGTTCTCAAAATATTTGTTTTAAGCGTCTCTGGCAATAAACTAATTCCATAATTTTAGGTCTGTCTGAACGGTCAAAAATGATGCATCAGGTGAGAGGGGGGCCCTCATTTTTGCAAATAATTTCCAGCAACTCAAAATTCAAATAGCATTCCGTTACAAGAAAGAGCTGGCCTCACATCATGGTTTTTAATGTTTAACTCTGATGTCTGTCTGAGCATACCTAGATTACTCTGCTGATTAAAATTTGTAAAACCTTGAAGGGGTAGTCAAATGTTATCTGTGTCTAATCTACATGTCCTGTAAAGAGACTTCATAGCCTCTGAAGAGAAAAACCAAGAGCTAAGACAGAAGCTGTGTCGGGGTTGAGAGTAGGCTACCAAAGGTCTTATTTTAATGGCTGAATTAGATAAACCTGAAATCTGTAAGCTGTTCTCCCAGCAGAGAAACACTGATATCTTGATTGCATTTTTAATATTGCAGAATTCAGTATTATTTGTGTGTCTGTGTGAAGAATGCAAGAAGCATGCATGCTTTTATAAATGCTTATCTTATCTTAGCTATTTGCTAGATCTTGGCACAAACAGAACTTTCTTTCATAGACCCATAGAATGGTTTGGGTTGGAAGGGACCTTCAAGATCATGGAGTTCCAACCCCCTGCCCTGGGCAGGGACACCTCCCACCAGAGCAGGTTGCTCCAAGCCCCATCCAGCCTGGCCTTGAACCCCTCCAGGGATGGGGCAGCCACAGCTTCTCTGGGCAACCTGGGCCAGTGTCTCACCACCCTCACAGCAAAAAATTTCTTCCTAATATCTCATATAAAACTCCCCTCTTTCAGTTTAAAACCATTACCCCTCATCCTATTGCTCTACTCCCTGATGAAGAGTCCCTCCCCATCTCTCCTGTAGCCCCTTCAGGTACTGGAAGGCCCCTGTAAGGTCTCCCTGGAGCCTTCTCTTCTCCAGGCTGAACAACCCCAGCCTGTCTTCATAGGAGAGATGCTCCAGCCCTCTGAGCATCTTCATTCATTTTAGTTCTCATCTTATGGCTGAAAATAACTTGGAGAAGAAAGTAGAAAATTGATTGGAGAAAATATTTTTTATCCATACTTGCTATTGTGCAGCACTCATTCAGAACACATTATAAAGATATTCTTTCCACTCCCAAAGGGGTACAGATCTTTTCTCTATTAAAATCTGATTTACAGCACAGGAATCAGATAATGCTTTATCTGATTTGACTCACCTGGCTGCTTGCTGATAACAGCTCCCATGTCTAATAAATAAATAACAAAAAATCTAATAACGCTAGAATTACCCAGCATTCTTCATTAGGTCCTCATGGGGCTTTCATGGAAAGGGAGTAAGAATGAAGGTGGGAATCAGCTTCCCTGTTCATCACAGAAAAGGTTGGAGGGTAATGGTAGGCTTTTCTAGGAAATGGTTCCTATTCTGGGAAATTACTGTAGAAAATAATCTTGCCAAATAATTTAAATTACTGTAGAAAATAATCTTGCCAAATAATTTACTCTTCATCTGTATGGCCTTTGGTATGCTGTATGTCATACCTGCACTGAAAATGCTGGTGTGCATATATATATTTATATATATATAAACTGTGATTGTGCTTTCCAGATAATTTTCATGCAAATTTGCTTCTTTAGGCAGGAAGTTAAATTGCTGTAAAACGCTCCCGTTCCAAAGAGCACCACTGTCATTTCACTTCAAAAGGCAATAGCGATAACAACGGGAGCAAGACCTTTCTCTAACTGTAGCAACAGAGCATCCACTGACTGCTGGCTTCACAGATAGACAAACAGCATCCCAAATCTTTATGATGCTGTTTACATTGTAAGCAAAATTGAAATGTTTGCATTGTTTTTTTTCCCCACTGTT